TCTAAGCCACTGGCTCCCGAGCTAAGAAGAAGGCCTCCTCATTTGCTTACCTGTAACACAAACGCACCACAGTCACTGTCATTATTCTGCCTGGCCACATTCTAGAGAATAGAAAGCAAGAACCTGTTGTTCACTTGGAGGTTATGGATTCAATTTCCAACTCCTATCCACTACCCTCACCATCACATTATTCCATTTCCTTCTGGAAACTCACCATCTTGAAGTAACCTGTCCAGCCCTGGTGGAAATCCAGTCGATCTTTTTTTACTGCCTCTGCCTGTAGATACTTGGCAATATGCTATGTAGGCAAGGAAAAAGAAAGTGATACCTTCAATATTTACCAAATGAATGAAAAGTATGATGGTGACAAATACCATGTCCATGTAACCCCTCAGAATCTGAGCCCCCAGTTCTTCTTGAATGGCTTGTTGCCAGATCACCCTACATTTTTTTTTATTTTTTATTTTTGGTTTTTCGAGACAGGGTTTCTCTGTATTGTTTTGGAGGCTGTCCTGGAACTCTGTAGACAGGCTGGCCTTGAACTCACAGAGATCCGCCTGCCTCTACTCCTGAGTGCTAGGATTAAAGGCGTGCGCCACCAACGCCCGGCTCACCCTATTATCTTTACTAGTTGTTTTCCCACAACCTCCTCAAACCTTAGGGCAGCGGCGGTTTAGAGTGCGCTGTGAGTCAAAGTAGGTGATGGTGCGTCGCTTTACATCAACTGAGATAAGGGACCAGTGAACCTCCAGATGGATGGGGATTAGCAGTAGTTCCTTATTGAAGATGTCCACCTGAGGAGAGAGTGCTGGAGGTCAGAAACAACAGAAAATCCTGATGACTGCCATGAGAAACAGAAAATATGCAACAGGTAAAGGAGTCATAAAATACAGATCCTAGATTGTGAGGGAAGGCTCAGCTTCAGATGTTAATAGTTATGGGAGGTTTTTATGTGGGGGTAGGGGAGCAGTGCTTGGAATACTTAGGGTCTCCTGCATGCTAAGCAAGCACTTTCCTACTGAATTACATTCCTAGATTCTGTGTATATGTTACTGTGTGCCATGCATATGGAGGCCAGAGGACAACTTTGAGTGTCCTTCCTCAGTGTCAACCTTTTGTTTAAGACAAGGTCACTCACTGACTTAGGATCCACAAGTAAACTTGACAGGATGGCCAGCAAGTCCCAGGAATCCAATTATTTCCACTTCCACAGCATTGATATTACTGCTACCCTGGGCTTTTGTAGGTGGGGATCAGACTCAAGTCCCTGTATTCACTCTATAGGCTGAGCTATCTTCCTAGTCCAGATACTGCTTTATTTGTGGTTTTGGATATTTGAGACAGGGTCTCTCTATATAACCTGGCTGTCCTGAAATTCATTTTGTAGACCAGGCTGGCCTCAAACTGAGAGCTCCTCCTGCTTCTCCCTCCTTAATGCCTTTTTTGTTTGTTTGTTTTTGAGACAGGGTTTCTCTGTATTGTTTTGGGGCTGTCCTGGAACTTGCTTTGTAGACCAGGCTGGTCTCGAACTAGCAAAAAAACCGCCTCCCTCTGCTTCCCCAGTGCTGGGATTAAAGGCGTGTGCCACCAACGCCCAGTTCCTTGGTGCATTTATAATCTCAGCACTTGGGAGGCAGAAGCAGGCAGATCTCTGTGAGTTCAAGGCCAGACTGGTCTACAAAGCTAGTTCCAAGAAAGTTAGGGCCACAGAGAAACTTTGTTGGGGGAGAGAGAGTAGGGTGTACACCCATCACACCTGGCTGATGTTGAGGTATTTGATAGTGAAGAAGAAAATTAGAAATAAGAGTAGAACAATCACATATGTGCCTTATAATTCCAGCAGTTGGGAGGTAGAATTAGGAGTTCAGGGCCAGCCTCTGCTATATGAAATCCTGTCTGGTGTCAGGTAAAGGAAAAAGCCTAGGTAAAAACCCAGACTCTGGAGCTGGAGAGATGGCTCACAGGTTAAGAGTACTGGCTACTGCCAGGTGGTGGTGGCGCACGCCTTTAATCCCAGCACTCGGGAGGCAGGTGGATCTCTGTGAGTTCGAGGCTGGGCTGGACTGATAGCCTCCAAAACAATACAGAGAAACCGTGTCTCGAAAAACCAAAAAAAAAAAAAGAGTACTGGCTACTGTTCCTAAGGACCTGTGTTCAATTCCCAGCACCCACATGATGGCTCACAACCATCTCTAACTTAGTTCCAGGGACCCGATGCCCTAGCTTCTTGCTTCTATGGCACTGCATGCATATGGTCCAGATATTCATGCAAGCAGGATACCATACACGCCTAATAATAGTAATTAAAGCAAAAACAAAATAAGACTCAGGATTTTGGTGCCACACTGCCAAGGTTGAAATCCAGCTTCTACACTTACTGGTTCATCACCATGAGCAAGTTACTTAACCTCTATACCTTGCCTTATCTGAGGAAGAGACCAAAAGTACCTGTCCTCATGCACTCACTATAGGGAGTAAACTCATCACTAACCATATGGAACACATGTCTATATAGTCACCCTTCACCCTACCACATTCTTGTGTCACTCGACACAAAACTGCCAATTGGGCAAGTAATTGCTCAAGGTCACAGAAGTAAGTACATCACAGGAAACACATTTTTTTAAATATATGTTCATTATTGGGAGGGGGCACACATGCCATGTACATGTGTGGAGGTCAGAGGACAAGCTGATTGAGACAATTCTTCCATCTTGGGAGTCCCAGGAACCAAACTCAAGTCATCAGGCTTGACACACTGAGCAGTCTTGTTGACCCACACAGACAAAAAAAAAATTAACTCAGGTATATAGAAAGCTAAGGGTTTTTTTCACTGTATTGTCACTCTTGCCTCTACTGAAAGAAAACAAGGCTCATTAGGTCCCTACGTTATGTGGGTTCCAAAGACTGGCTGAAACTTAACTTGCCCTCATTCCATCAAGGCAAGATTATTTCCTTGTTGAATATTGTATCAGTAGTTCCTACAACAGTGCCCGGCACACAAGACATTTAATATTTAGCAGAATGAAGTGTTGGGGGAAGGGCTCATAGAAAGCAAAAATCTTTAAAATATTAAAGACAAGGTGCTGCACAAGTAGTTGTGAATTCATAACTCACATTTTTGGTCCACCTTTTCACCCCATCATAACCCTTGGTACGGAGTTTATCATAGAAGAAACTGTTGAAGAAATGCACCTGTGCCGAAGACAGGATATAATTAAGATTTCAGAGTTGCCCACAAAGTTCCCTTCTACCCTACCAACCCACATTCCATTTCATATAGCCTAAGTGAAATGGCTTCCAGAACTGCCACTCTCACTCAAGAGTAATGTAGAGCTGTGGCTTTTCTTTCTGGTTTTAAGACAGGGTTTCTCTGTGTAGCCCTGGCTGTCCTGGAACTCACTTTGCAGACCAGGCTGACCTTGAACTCATACATCCCCTGCCTCTTGAGTGCTGAGATTAAAGGTGTGTGCCACCACTGCTTGGCACAAAACTGTTTTTAACCTTCTCTTACAGATAGGGTTAACTAAAACACTAAAGATTGGTTTACAGATTTAAAATAACCACTGACTAGCTCTTCTCCCAGAAGAGATGAAAGGGGACGTAAAAACTGCTAAGAATTGCAAAAGTTCTGGGAATTAAAGAATCTGGTTGGTGGCAGGTGGTGGCGGAGCTGGATGCCTTTAATCCTAGCACTGGGGATGCAGAGTCAGGCAGATCTCTGAGTTCAAGGCCAGCCTGATCTATACATTTCAAGTTCCAGGAAAACCAGAACTACACAGAGAAACCCTGGATCAGAAAGGAAAGGAGGGAGGGAGGGAGGGAGGGAGGGAGGGAGGGAGGGAGGGAGGGAGGGAGGGAGGAAATCGACCAATCTGGTTGGACATACCTTTTCAGGGACTGTGTCCATGACCAGGTCTCCATACATGTTCATCACCTGGGGAAAGGAGTAAAGCAAGTTGCCCTGGAGGGTATAGCATAGGTACAGGGTTCCCCTGTGCAAAAGGCTTCACTCTCCAAAGGCCTTTTAAAGCCCTGTTATCTCCCTCCTCTTACCTGGTCATTGAGCCAGTTCTGTCCATATAAGGTCCCTAAGTCATCCATGGTGAGCACATGTCGTTTATAGGATACCCGGAAGCCCCTTACCATGGCATTGCCTGGCATGCGCTGGTAGGACTGGATCAGCTGCAGTACCAGACTCTTCCTGAATAGGTCAAAGGTTTGCAATTATACAAGAGCTAACGGGGCTGGATCAGACAAAAGTACCCACTACTGTCTAGAATAAGATTCTAAAACAACCTTTCTTTTTTATAAGTCCTTTTGAGGGTCTCCCACTGCCCAGAAAGAGACACAGGACAGATCAGTGTCCTTTTCAACATCTCACAGTATCCTAAAGATCCTCCCAATAGTCTTACAGGGCTGGGCATTTTGTCTGCAGCCACCTCTCCTGCAGCTGAGCTGAAGCTTTTATACTTCCACATATATCCCTAAAGGAGAAAAAACATACTCTCCCCCTCCCAAAATCCTACCTTCAAAGGGTACCTGCCTTCAAACCTCACCTGGATGGTGTAGAAAACTCCTGTTGGAAAATGTCCTCCAATTTCTCTACAACCTCATCAGTACTGAGGGGGATGAGGCTACCGTAAGTTTGAAGGAATTCATCTAAGATGCCTAAATAGAAGTAGGAGAGAAGAGTAGGTGAGGCCTTTAGACTCTGATCTTGAGTTGACCAAAAGGAGACTTAAGTCCTCTAAAGGCTTACTCTGCACACAGGTCACGTGTTCCTCCCGCAGGGGGCTGTGCTGGCCAGCTTTCTCCCCAGGCCGCTCTGCCTCTTCTGAAGTGCCCAAGTCAGAGCCCTGAAAAAGTTCCTGAGCCACATGGTCCCCAATGCTGCACACATTACTGATAAGTATGCTGGCATCAGGGGGTGCCAGGCTGCGCTCCCCTTCAGGACCAGACAGTCCCCCAAAACCATTAGGCAGAGTACACGAGAGGAGGCCTGTAAAGCAGGGAAAAAGATAGGAATGTGAATTGGCCCAAGTAAAAGAACGGATGCATACAAATTAGACCACAGAACATGGCCGGAAGCAGCATCTAGCAATATAAACCTATGGAATGCAGACCCCCCCAACTGCCAAAAGCCTAATGTAAGATGTCCAAAGAATTTGCAAGAGGATAGAGAGAGCCAGGCAGTGGTGGTTCACTCCTTTAATCCTAGCACTCAGACGGCAGAGACCAGACTTGTCTACAGGGTTAGTTCCAGGACAGGTAGGACTACACAGAGAGACCCTGGGGGTGGGGGTGGGGAAAGACTAGGATTCTGAGAGACTTCAGAACTATCTACTACCAATATATGCTTTAAGACCTAAAGTAGTACACAGTGTATAAAGAAGATTCAATATCAATAGGGATGATAAATTATTTAGTTGGAATTCTCCAAAGAGGAAATATTCTAAATTAAAATGTTAAAATCTCTGCTGGGCGGTGGTGGCACATGCCTTTAGTCCCAGCACTCAAGAGGCAGAGGCAGGAGTATCTCTTGAGAGTTTGAGGCCAACCTGGACTAGAGTGAGTTCTAGGGCAGCCAGGGATAGATACACAGCAAAACCCTGTTTTATAAAACAAAAGAAAATTACAGATGATATATTCTAATTGTAGATTCCACAGCAACAAAGAGTAACCTGTGGGGATAGCATAAGTCTTAACCTGAGAGGGAGGCTTTGCAACGGACAACACTGATTTTCCTAACCCATAACCCCTGTTGTAATCTGTACTGAAGCTCACAGGACCGCTACTTCAGGATGTTTCCTATCCCTGTGTTCCAGGCATCATTCCGCTCAAACAGATCCCTCCCGCCACTCCCACAGGATAGGAGCTTTCTTTGCAGCCCAGGTGAGGCCCATTCACTGTTCTCCCGTCTCAGCCTCCCAAGTGATAGGATCACAGGTGTGTGTGTGTGTGCCAGAACCAGGCCTTTCAAAATAAGGCTTAGTGAGCTCATCTCACTAAGCCTTTCTTAGGCCCAGTGCTCGGCACAACAACAAACTCCTGGTACTCCAGACTTCTCGTCCTTCCCATTCCATTTCCCACCTTACCGGAGTCGGGATCCAGAGGAGACTTTGGGGTCCACCTTAGTCCATCTTCCTCCATGGGGGGCCCAGAGGGCACTGGTGGTGACCTTCTCATCCCGTCCTCAGCCATGAGAGCACCTAGCAGACCCAGCCGGGGCCGGGGAGGTCCCCGGGGGGAATCAAAACGACAACAGGGTGATGGCACCTGTGGCGTTGCACCCCCTTCCTGGGGTGAGAGATGGTTCTTGGTGAGGTTCCTCCGCCGGCCTCGGTGGCGCCCCCAAAGCTTCCAGTGGAATGTCAACGAGGTGCTTTTTGAGTAGAGCAGCATCTGGAAGGCTCTCATGGCTCGGCGCCGGCGCTGTGAGCACGTTTTTCTATGAGAGGGTCGGAGAGGCCGAGGACGCTGGGAGGCCCCCAGCTGGCCCCATCTAGGGGGTAGTCTCCAAGCTGCTACTTCCTCCTCCTCATCCTCCTCCTCCTCTTCTTCTTCTTCACTAGCTGAGGCATCAAAAGAAGGACGAGGAGCAGGGAGGCGTCTAGTTGGCACTGTGGTCCCTGACCCAGGATCCGGCCCAAACCCGCCACCTGACTTGAGTCGGGGCTTAGGGGGCAGAGGCCATCGAAGACGTTCTCGTCTGGGGTTTGAGTAAGTGGTGCCGGGTCCCGGAGGCTCAGGCCCCCAAGACCCGCTCCCTTGTATAGTCTCTTTCATCTTCCAGTACTCTGTAAAGCAAAAGCTTGAATATCAGAATCAGAACATCCTACTCCTCCAAGATAACGGTTTCTCAGCATTTCCCCTCTGATTTCAGATACAAATAAAGAAAAACGCAAAAACTCGTAACTTTGGCTCTTCCCAGCTAACCTGGTCCACAAGGAACGCTTCAGAGTTTGTCGTTATTTCTTCCCTTGCACAGGTAGAAAAGCAATGGAAAATGGCAAGGTGACAGGCCTTAGAGATCTCATTTCTAAGCTCCTTTGTGAAACCCAGTGTTTCCAGGCTCCACTTTAATGCCACTATGGGTGTCCTTAGGATAAGTCTTAGGGTTACTTTGCTCAGGAAAATGGCTCAGCGCGAGAATTCTGATCTGGGCACCCGGGAAGACAGCTTTCACCACGAAAACTTTGTTCTCCAGAGGGAAGTTCCCTTTCATCCTGAAATGTTATGGGGGGGAGGGGGACACGTATGCCTAAGGTGTGGGAAAGGGTGCTGCCAGGGTTATGGCTCAGGAAATAGGTAAGAGGGGAAGATTTTGAAGGAAACTGACAGCGAACCGAATCTGTGCTTAGAGACCGAATCAAGAAGATGGGACAGAACTAAGCTGTGGGAGCCAGATCAGACCAGCACCTTCTCAGTCTTATCCCAGGAGACCCGAATGCTTCCCACCCCGGTATAGTTCTGAAACCTAGGGCGGCTCGGCACACGCGGGTCTTAAGTCCCTTAAAGGGCCTCTTGGGCCCAGTTAGGTGCGAGCGAAGACCAGGAATGGAAGAGGCCACAGAAGGGCGGGGGGGGAGGGGAAGGGGCGTCCTCACCCGGAGCGGGGATGCCGGCCACACGGGCCCCAAGGCGGGTGTCTCCGCCTCAGGCTTTCCGGCTCATCTTTCGGACGGCGGCGACCCCGCCACTCCTGCTGTCTTCAGGTGGAGCCGTCTCAATTCACGATGCCAAAGCTCTGGGCCGCGCGCCGTGCCGCCCCGCCGCGACCGTCCCCAGCGCCGCTGTAGCCTCCACCTCCACCTCCACCTCCACCACCGCCACCACCCCTCCTCCTCCTTCCCCTCCCGCGAGCCCCAGGCCCACCGCCGATGGCGGCGCACAATTAGTACGTCACACCCGGCGTGCGGCGCCGGCGCGGCCAGTTCGTGCAGAGTCCCGCCTACCTGAGAGCGCCCCGGCCACCGGACGGTCCCGCCCTCGAGCGCTACGCTGAGCCGAGCCTGCGCACAGGGGCCTGGCTTTCCGCGCGTGGCAGTCCTACCGCTCGCCCTCTTACGCCTGCGTGTCGCGTCCGGCCTCACGCTCTACGATGCTCCCCGTTCTGCTGTGAGCTGAGCTTGGGGTGACCAGTGATCCCCCCAAGCTCGGGGGGGCCTACCGGGACTGGCCTGAGGCTTGGTGGTTGGGGAAATGGAGGCGGGATGGGGGTCGACATTCTTTTATTTTTTCGTTCTTTCTTTTTTTAACTTTAAACAGGGCTTGATTAAGGCATGAGACACGACCGGCTGCCAGAGCGTCCAGTACATACAAACTTCCCAGACACCAGTCCAATCTTTGAGGGTCTTTTGTTGCTTTGCTTGAGACAAGGTCTCGTCTCGACCCCCGGATGTCCAGGAACTCGCTGCTTAGACCAAGCTGTCTTTGAGTTCATAGAGATCGGCCTCCCTAGTATCGAAATTAATGGCGTGAAGCACTATGCCAGTTTAGAAGTTCACCAGGGGAATGAGAGGCATGCAGATCGACGCACCATAAATACATTTTTCTAGATAATAAGAACTCGGACACAATAGAAGTGAAAACAGGGTTCTTGTAAATTGAAGCAGAGGGCACTTGAAGAGGCGTGCCCAAGAGGCACGGGTTTTCCCTAGCAGAGACTGTAGTCTTTCCTCAAGCTGCCGCTAGATGGTGGTGCTGTCCTGGATGCATTTCCGTGAACGAGTGGACAAGGCTTGGCACAGTCCACGAAAACCCCCTTAACACACACAACAAAAGAATTTGGAGCTGGGTGGGAGACAAACGCAAAATCTACCGTTTTAATACCCTTCAAGTCAAATCCCAGGGAGTGCAGGGGGTGGGGGCGGGAAAGGCAAGGGAGGAGCAAGAGTGACGAATGCAAACTCAAGGAGAGCCGTTCTTGCTCGTTTGCTTGCCTCTGTCTGGCCAGTTCTCGCGGTCTCCAGTATAGACCCATACTGCTCTTCCCAGTTCAGACCCTTTGATAGCACAGTCATAGTCTGACAAACCCCACGAAGGTTCCGTGCGGAGAAAGGCTAAGTTTTGCGTTTGCCCGTGGAATTTTGACAGTGAGAATATCCCCTTGACGTAAATGAAAGACACCTGAGAAGAAAGTGAGAGACAGATGCTCAGTGAAACACGGCCACATGAGTTCTCGAATGCTTCGCTCTGCCTGCTACAACCCCTCCTCCATTTTGATTCTACGTTTTCATTTTTGGGGGGGAGGGGACATGCATGTGTGGAGATCAGAGGACAATTCTTGAGAGAGTCAGTTACTTCCTTCTGCTACGTGGGTTCTAAGAATCAGGCGGTGAGGTGTGAGGGAGGGAACAGGCACCTTTACTGAGTTAGCCATCTCTCTGGCCATGGTAACTTTTTGAGACAGCCTCACACTGTATGTAGACTGACCTTGAGCTCTAGGCAAGCTTCCCACCTCAGATTCCTGTGTGTTGTGATTATAGATGTGAAACTTGTTCATAGACTCTACCTTTTCTCCCTGTAAGGACCTAGGCATCCTGTCCTTTTGTTTTGTTTTTCGAGACAGGGTTTCTCTGTGGCTTTGGAGACTGTCCTGGAACTCGATCTGTAGACCAGGATGGCCTCGAACTCACAGAGATCCGCCTGCCTCTGCCTCCCGAGTGCTGGGATAAAAGGCATGGGCCACCAACGCCCGTCGGCATCTCGTTCTTTAATCTTTGGATTTGCCTCTACACCCGCGTTCCCAACACTCCACTGTAACGCCCCACACCAAGTCACTCTGCCTGAGTGGCTGTGACCTGCTCTGCCCACGTCAACCCTCTACTGACTCCACAGTTCGCACCTGCACTGTAGCAGCTATTGTAGGCACGGTCAGGATCCGAGGGCATACTTCGGATACATCGGAATAGAGTCTCCTGTCTCCCTTGGCTTTCCCGAGAAACCACCTGACCCATGGTGAAAGTCACATCATGAAACAGGACCTGCGAGGGGAGGGAGAAGATACTGAAGAAAACCAGGAATGCAAGGCTCAATCCCGGGATGCCTCAGGAGTTCTGCCATAGCAGCCAGGCAATAAGGAGGCAGTAAGTTTGGTATGAGCAGAGGGATCAGGGAAACCCTCATTATGGAGTCCATAAGAAAGAAGAATGACCTCTTAAAAACCAAAAACGAAAAGAAAAGAAAGAAGAATGACAACCTGCCTCTATGCCCATATGGTGGGCTCAGGGCTTGTTTGGGGTTACCTGGCTATATAGCAGATAAATTCCAGTGTCCCAGACTCGGACAACGTATCCTTGGGCTTCCAGGCCTCTCCCACGCCTGAGAGCTGGTTGCCACATCACCTCTGTCACATCAGAGTCCACTGGAGGTGAGGAGTGTTCGGTCAGTATTTCTTTGCACTCAGATACATGAGTTCCCCCTTTTCATTTCTAGGATTCTTTTGGCCCCAGCCCCACAGTTCCTGGTTGGTGCCCCTCCCACAATGCCATTATTTAAAATAGTGCTCACCCTTGGAGGTAATGTTAATGGGAACAAGATGCAGAACTGAGTGCCTCTCTAAGGAGAGAAGGAGGAAATGGCAGCGTTGGCCTGCCCCTGGAGTCCACCCTCCACCCTCACCTCAGCTCTGACCCACATTCCCCATGCTTCTGGGCCACCTCCCACCCCTGCTGGACCCCAGGGCTCACTCACTCTTGCGCCTCTGGGTGAGCACTGCTCTCCTTCTCCTAGATTTCTCCCCATCCTCCCAGGTTTCCAGGACATCAGGACTCTGCTTATGACAGAGGGTTGTTTGACTAAAGATGCAAGGGTCTCAAGACAGCCTTTATTCCCAGCCCTCCTCAACACCAGCAACAGCTCAGATTTCTGCACCTGTCCTAGGCCCCTGGTGTGGGCACTGACTGCCTTTTCAAGGAGTTTTTGTTACAAGAAGCATTAATCTTTAACAGTTTATTTTCCTGGAATGGCCATTCCCTTGACGACCAAATCCAGGGTCTCCTCTTGCACCTACTTGAAATTTTGCAGACGGAGACGCCCTAAGACGGCTCTGCCATTTTTCCTTCACCCCTAGACTCCGTGCCCCTTACTCACCTGGTCCCAGAGGCTCTGCCATGGAGACTCTCCCCGCTTCTGGGAAGGCCCCCCACTCCGCTGCAGTCGGCTCACCTCCCTCCTCAGGCTCTGCAGCTCTGTTTGTTGGATCAGCAGTGCCACAGCACAAGTCACAGCCCCCAGAACCGCCCCCCAACTCAGCCAAAGAGCAACCGAGAGAGCTGGCTCTCGGACTGAGCCCCCCATGTTGCCTGGAGATGAGGCTGGCATGAGCTGGGGACGCCACCAACAACTGTGGTCTCAGAAATGAGGTGGCCAGGAGGTAGCAGGGAGGGTGGGAATACAGGCAAAGACACAGAAGGGAAGAGCACAGTTACGCAAGGGAGAAATAAAAAGGAACTTGAGAATATAAAAGGGAGAGGAAGAAAGCGAACGGGGTACTGTTAGACCCCAGGCCCCACTGCAGAGCTGGTGTCACTGTCACACACCCCCCAGCCTCAGAAGAATTTGGTGCCAATTATCTAGGAAGGACAGAGCAGCCTGTGACACCCAGAAGGAGCGGCCAGCATTCAGGAGCCCAGGGGCGGCCCCTGAGTTGGAGGAGGGAAGGTCGGTTGGTTATGGGGCATGGTGCCAGCAGGAGGAATGGGGTACAAGCTGGACAGCACTGAGGTCAGAAGGTGAGTGTGGCAGACCCTCTGACTCAGGCATGGACAAGACCTCTGAGGAGGCTTGTTAGGGGTGACTGACAATGAAAAAAGGGGCTCAGGGGCCAGCAGGGAAGATAACCAGGGACAAGAAACTGGCAGGGTGCTGGGGTAAGGCTGGGCCGGGTGTGTTGGAACCAGGCCTGCACTGCTCCCTGTGCTGAACTTGGCAAGCTGGACTTCCTGTTTCCCAAGAAGAGTTCTTACATAAGGCTTTCTGGACAAAGAGACAAAAGAAAAGGCCCCAAGTCCCCAGCCACTGCAGCATGCCTCCCAAGACCCGAGGGCCCAGGCCCCTGTACCTGCCCTTGCACTCCTTCCTATGGCTCTGAGCCCCTTCCCAAGCAGTTCCCACCCCATCTAGCTAGTGCCTGTGCCAGCACCTGCTGAGCTGCTGAACGGTCTAAGGCCAAGAGGAAGGGCTGCTCCTCCCAGTCAGGGATTCCCCCTGCAGGAGGAAGTCGCTTGCTAGGGAAATGAGACTGCTTCTGCAGTACCTTGAGCAGAGAGAACCAGGTGTTTTTTTCTGATAACCTTTGTGATTTCTACTCAAAATTGCAGCGTGGAGAGCCAGGAAGTGGTAGTGCACGCCTAATCCTAGCATTCCAGAAGCAGAGGCAGGCGGATCTCTGTGAGTTCGAGACCAGCCTAAAAAAAAACGAACAAAAAAATTGCAGCTTGGGGGCTGGAGAGATGGCTCAGAGGTTAAGAGCACTGACTGCTCTTCCAGAGGTCCTGAGTTCAATCCCCAGCAACCATATGGTGGCTCACAACCATCTACAATTCAATCTGGTGCTCTCTTCTGGTATGTAGGCAGAACGCTGTATATGTAATAAATAAATCTTTAAAAAAAATTGCAGCTTGGAGGCATGCAGGTCCTTGTTCCCCAATAACTAAACTTCCTTCTCATGACTTTGTTATTGTGGATCCCAAAAAAGAGAGAAGTCATGGTTCACTCTCTTTAATATCCATTTAACACTTTGTCACAATAATAATAAAAATAGTATCTTTTCAAAATCCACAGGGACTCAGGGAGGGGCTTGTCTAAGGCTCTAACCCCCACATTTGGGAATGTCTGGCCTAGTCCCCGGCTCTTTGGCTTCCTGCCACCAGGTCCAGCCCATCCCAGTGCCTGATGCACAGTCAGTAAACAGAGTCCTGGGGGCTGGGGCCTGGGGAGTCAGGGAGAAGTGGGGCTTTGGGAGCTAGTGAGTCGGACAGTTGGGGTGGGATGGGGTGCTGTGGGATGGAAAACACGTGAACAAGCCCCGGCTGCCTTTAGAGGAGACAGGACTGGAGCAAACAGCAGCTCAGGGTTTGGGGATCACGGTGCTCTGGGAGACGGGGAAAGCAGGACCCCTCAGTGAACTTGAAAGAGTCCAAAGTAGGTAAGGAAGGGGGCAGCCTTAAGGTGAGCCCAGGGGAGAGTACGGATCCGAAGGGAAGACCCTGGCCGTAGGGGCAGCAGCCCAGACACCTGGCACAGACGAAGCTGGGGTCCAGGGGAGCTTGCTGCTGTAGCTGAGAACTCCTCCAGGCAGCGCAAGGCCAGCACATCATTCACCAGCAAGTCCAGCTTCAGATAGACAGCCTTCCCCTCATCAAAGTGCACCTGGGACAGAAGGGGGACAAGCAGAATCCAGGCATAGGCCTGCTGCATCTTAAATTCAAATTCCCTTAGAAATCCAAGCGTCTCTTCCCGCATAAAGCCCACAGTCTCCCTCTCCCACCTATATCTTGCCCTTCTTCCTGCCTCCCATGCCAAATCCTTCTCCCCTCAGCCACTGCTCTGCCCATGGAGCCAGGCAGAGCTTACCTGACAGTAAAGGTAGTAGAGCCCAGCCCTGACGACTGTAAATTCACCAATCTGGCGGTCATAGCGCAGAGGGCTGGAGCTGTTTATTTTGGCCTCTTCCCAGCCACTCACTGTCCCATCCACACCTGAATGGGAGTGTTTATGGATAAGTAAAAGTCCCTTTACAAGACTCCCCATACACCCCAAGAATTCATTGGGCTTCTTTCTTCATTATTTATTTATTTATTGTTTTTTGTTGTTGTTTTTCAAAACAGGGTTTCCCTGTATAGCTTTGGAGCCTAATCTGGAACTAGCTCTAACTCACAGAGATCCTCCTGCCTCTGCCTCCAGAGTGCTGGGATCAAAGGCGTGCGCCACCACTGCCCAGCTATTTCTTTATGGGTTTTTTGTTTGGTTGGTTTGTTTTTCAAGACAGGGTTTCTCCGTATAACAGTCCTGGAACAGTACTAGCTCTGTAGACCAAGCTAGCCTTGAACTCACTGAGATCCACCTACCTCTGTTTGCCTCCCAAGTGCTGGGACTAAAACCATGTGCCACCATAACCCAGCAAATACATTGAGTTTACATGTATGTGAGGTCCACCTCACCCAGAAGAGCTATCAATGGCTCAGTGTATGGGAGAAGCCATGGTCCCTGTGAAGCCCACAGTGATAATAAGGTATTGTGTGATGAGGTCCAACATATGTGACCAGAACGTTTCAGGGCAAATTGTCACTGGGGATTATTTCTGGGGATATTAAAGAATAATTCTGAAGCAGAAGAGTTGGAGATTTTACATTTTACTTCATCTGTCATTATTGTTTGTATATTGACCATATAGTATAATATATATATACATATATACATGCATTATTTGAATCAACAAAAAGAAATGAGTGACGCCAGGCGTTGGTGGCGCACGCCTTTAATCCCAGCACTCGGGAGGCAGAGGCAGGCGGATCTCTGTGAGTTCGAGGCCAGCCTGGTCTACAGAGTGAGTTCCAGGACAGCCTCCAAAGCCACAGAGAAACCCTGTCTCGAAAAACCAGACAAAAAAACAAAAGAAATGAGTGACAAGACACAGACTCATGGGTTGGTTATGAATTTAAAATTTCTCATGCAAACAAGAAAATATGCCAGGCAGTGGTGGTGCTCGCCTTTAATCCCAGCACTCAGGAGGCAAAAGCAGGCAGATCTCTGTGAGTTCAATGCCAGCCTGGTCTACAGAGTGAGTTTCAGGACAACCAGGGCTACTCACAGAAACTCTGTCTCAAAACAAAAAAACAAGAATAAAGTGAAATATAAACCTTCTCTTCAAGTTAAAAATAAAAGAATAAAGTGACATTTAATGCCCACCAGCTAATGAATAGATGGACAAACATGGTATTCTTACACATTGAGTATTACTCTGCTATTAAAAAAATAAAGAACAGCCGGGCGGTGGTGGCACATGCCTTTAATCCCAGCACTCGGGAGGCAGAGGCAGGCGGATCTCTGTGAGTTCAAGGCTAGGCTGGACCAACAGCCTCCAAAATAATACAGAGAAACCCTGTCTCATAAAAACCAAAAAAAAAAAAAAAAAAAAAGAATAAAGAACAGTTGTTTGTTATCATGTGGACGAACCTTGAAAACAAGCCGGACGTTGGTGGCGCTTGCCTTTAACCCCAGCACTCGGGAGGCAGAGACAGGTGGATCTCTGTGAGTTCGAGGCCAGCCTGGTCTACAGAGTGAGTTCCCAGACAGCCTTGAAAACAATACATAGAAATCCTGTCTTGAAAAACCAAACAAACAAAAACAACAACAACAAAAAACAGTATGTTAAGTGAAAGAACCACATGTTGTATGCTCCCATGCATAGGAAAGGCCTGGAATTGGCAGTCTATAGAGACAAAGTGGGTTACTGATTGCTTGGGGCTAGGCATGATGGGAATATAAGATGATAGGTAAAGGATACATGGCTTTTTCTTTCTCTTTTATAACTACTATTATTTTCTGAGAGAGGGTGCCATGTAACTCATGCTGGCCTCGAAGTTGCTATGAAGCCAGACGATCTTGGATTCCTCACATTCTTTCTCCTGCCTTCCAAGTGTTGGGGTTATGGGTATGCGTCTCTTCACCAGATTTGGGCTTGCGGGTTTTGAATTGTGACAGGGTCTCTCTATGTAGTCCTAGCTGCTCTAGTTGCCCACTACATAGAACAGATTGGCCTCTAACTCAAAGAGACTAGCCTGTGCCTGCTTCTGCCTTCTAAATGCTGAGACTAAAGGCATGAGTCATGGCTTGTTGTGGTGATTAACGGATTGTGCCTTAGATTGTACTTTCGTCTAGTCACAGTAGCAAAGTTTCAACAGAGCACTGAGTTGTACAGATGGGCAGACTGCACGGAGTGTGAAATCTATCTCAATAAAGCTCTTACCAAAACTGTGGGGATCACCACAAAATGAACAAAAAGAAGTCCCCACAACTACAGTAGTTGAATACTGCAAAAGAAAGCCAGGCATGGTAGCACACGCCTTTAATTCCAGCACTTAGATGAATCTCTGTGAGTTCGAGGCCAATCTGGTCTACAGAGCAAGTTCCAGGACAGCAAGGGCTACATGGAGAAACCCTGTCTAGGAAAACGCAAACAAAAAGAAACTTGAAGCAGAAGTAGTGGCCATAGAGCCCAGTGTCCATGGCTTCCCAGAACCCACCTCCGAGGCTGTCTCCCTCCCCAGTCTCACTGACTTCCAACCACAACACTCCTGCCCGTCCACACACATCCTAGCCTTCTTCCTGTCTCTTGCTATTTACCAAGCTCCTTCTCCCTCTGGGGCTTTATAAGGTTCTGCCTTCTTCCCAGGACTCCTTCCTGACAGCCACCTTCTAGCTCCTCCTGTGGTAGTGGTGGGATCTATAATTCAAGCATGTGGGAACTTGAAAAAGAAAGTTCCTGAGTTCAAAGCCAGCCTGGGCTACTAGCTGAGACCTTGTCTCAAAACAAAACAAAGCAATACAAGACAAGCAAAGAAACCCATCTTTGTTGCCTCCCCTGCTTGTTCCCTAGCAGTCAGCAAAATAAGAAATCTTTTTTTTTTTTTTTTTTTTTTGGTTTTTCGAGACAAGGTTTCTCTGTGGCTTTGGAGGCTGTCCTGGAACTCACTTTGTAGACCAGGCTGGCCTCGAACTCACAGAGATCCGCCTGCCTCTGCCTCCCGAGTGCTGGGATTAAAGGCTCCTCCAGCCCTCCTCCACCCAGATAGACCTACCCTCTTCACATGGAGGGAGAATGAAGGCTCACTCACTCTGCTGTCTAAATCCACGTGTGACTCATGGGCCCACCAGCCTGTCCTATATTCATTTGCTCAGTGATCACAGTTTCCTGTCATTCCTGCTCCTGAACAGCCCTGCCCACCCCTCCATCCTCTCCTTACTCTGGTCTCCTTGGGACTCCTCAATGGAATCTCTGTTTCCAATCTTGTCTCTTCCAGTTTATTTCCCAAAGACTCAGAGGTGAAATTTCCAAACTGCAGGCCTGGGCCTGCTTCTCCCTGCATTTCTTTTGATGGGTCATTGAAATTAATCCCCATTTTCTCTTTGTGACCTGCCATCTGCTTCTGCAATCTTAGACCCTACCTTGTTTCTCCTACAGGTATGTCCAACCTCCAGCACTCACGGGGAGCCCATGCATCCCAGAGGAGATATGACATATGGTCCAACATCTCTGCAGAGGACACACCATCATGTGACAGTACCAAAAGGTTGGCTACCCCACATTTGTAGGGGACCTCCCACCTCAGCCTCCCTGGAATTCTTACACCCTTCAGCCTCATCAGACTCTTGGGAAAGCCTGGCCTTGCATGGTTCCTGACCCCCTCAACACCATACAATTAGGCTTCAAAGCCTATGCTACTACAAGGAGGAATGAGTCCCTGACTCCTGTAAAGCTGTCTTCCTGCAGTGCCATGTGTCTGGGCCTACTTTACTACCATTCCGGTCAACCAGCACTGTGATTACACATTTACAGGCCCTCCGCTCTTCCTCTATAGTGGATCTTTAAGCAAAGGTGTGTGAGTGTGATTGGCTGTGGTCTAGTCCCTGGTCCCTGGTAAATACCAGGTTCCTGATACATGTGTGTTGAGTTAATGAATGTCCCTGGTAAATGGCAAGTTCCTGATACATGTGTGTTGAGTTAATGAATTGATGACTGGGAAAGGGGCCCAAATAAACGATCTCTACTAAGGGGAAGAGAGCTGGCCTGGAAAGGGGAGGGAAGAAAGAGAAGGCACGCTGGGCGCAGACCAGCTGAGAGCAAGTCTGCTTGTGGCCAAAGGGCATGGTATACCTGGGGACGTGAATGGTTCCACGGTCACTCATGTGACCACCACAGCCCTTCAAAGGGTGTCTAACGCCACTTGGCAACCCACTTGCTCCTTTGGCACCCTTATGACGTAAGAGTATCCTCTCTTCCTTCTAGAAACATCCTTGCCGGGCGTTGGTGGCGCACGCCTTTAATCCCAGCACTCGGGAGGCAGAGGCAGGCGGATCTCTGTGAGTTTGAGGCCAGCCTGGTCTACAAGAGCTAGTTCCAGGACAGCCTCCAAAGCCACAGAGAAACCCTGTCTCGAAAAACCAAAAAAAAAAAAAAACCATCCTTTCCACCTTCTTGGGTAGGTTCTTCTCAAGAAGACTGTGCAGCACCTAAGCCTGTCCTAGCTGGCTTTGAATCCAGCTCCACTACTGAGGTTTGCCATGATCTCACAGCTGAATAACCCTCATCTACTACATGGAGGTAACCGGAATATCTTCCTGCCATGGACTTGTGGGGATCTTATAAACTTAAATGCCCAAGAACTAGTCCCCGCGCCTACTCCCAAAGTACTAGGATGAGTATAGTCTCATTAAAAGGACAGGTTTTCATTGGCCTCCATCCCTCTTCACCTACCAGCCATGTCTGTCTCTTTTGTCACTGGCCCTTTTTCTGGTTTTCTGTCCTCAGTACACATCACTATTCTAGTCACAATCCTGAAGCTGTCATCCATTGACGCTATGTCACCAAACCTAGTAGTCACAGCTCTGTCTTCATCTCATGTGACCTCTCAGCTGCTTCTGCACAGACAGCCTCTCGCCCTCTGATTGCTCTGGACACCACCCTGCCCAAGGTTCTGCCTTTCCCATCTGCTCAGCTGGCTTCCCCTTCTGCTCAGCTTCATCTTGGGGTATTTCTCTCTCTCCCCTGGTGTCTCAGCTCATCCTGTACTTTAAATAACAACCCCCTGGCCGCATCTCACCGAGCCTGGGCCAGTCTAGCCACCCATTGGTGAAATTGACTTTCCTAACCGTGTTCTCCACTTGGTCATTAAGAGACTGACAACCTGTTTTTTCCCTTCTGGTCAATCCAGTCTTAGGAAATGTCACTATCATTCTCAGTGATATTCAAGCCAGGTGCCAAGGCACAAGCCTGTATTTCCAGCCACTTAGGAGCCCGAGGCAAGAGTATCACTTGAGTTTTACAACAGCCTGGGTGGAATAGCAAGACCCTGCCTCAAAAGAAAACAATGTACATGCTATTTATTATTCCTCCATTTCTCCTCTCTCTCTCTCTCTCTCTCTCTCTCTCTCTCTCTCTCTCTCTCTCTCTCTCTCTCTCTCTCTCTCTCTCTCTCTCTCTCTCTCTCTCTCTCTCTCTCTCTCTCTCTCTCTTGGGTTTTTGGTTTTCTCTGTGTAGGCTTGGTTGTCCTGGAACTCACTTTGTAGACCAGGCTGGCCTTGAACTCACAGAGATCTGCCTGCCTCTGCCTCCCGAGAGCTGGGATTACAGCGCCACCATTGCCCAGCTGACTTCTCATTCTCTTAACCTTTTTTTTTTTTTAATCTAACCCACAAGCAAGTCCTGAATCTTCAAGCTGAGTCTCCAGGTCTCCCCTTCTCTACCACTAATGACCTAGTCTGAGCCACCCCCGCGTCTTTTCTGGACCTGCTCAGTGGAAGGATGGTCCAGGTGAGGAAACAGTACGTTCAAATTCTAGACTGGGTGTAGGAGCAAGTGCCCGGAAGTGAGGCTGAGGTCATAGCAAGAGAGGCTGGAAGCAAGCAGAGAAGCAATGGACCAGTGAACTGTGCGTTTAGGAGGGCGTAGCTTGGCAACAGAGGCTGAGCAAAGTGGGGAGGTGGGGAGATTGAGGATGGGGAAGGGGCGGAGCTGAGTCTGGGTTTCTAAGGTGGGGGAGAGAGATGGACAGAGACTAGAAACATCTGGGGAAACAGTGATCACACAGCAGGAAAGAATACAGAATACAGAGGAAAAAAGAAGGATCATGGGGGCTTCTTTGATAAGCCCGAGGCCAGGAGGAGAAAGCTGAGGCCATTGGTTTGGGAAGGGGCTAGCCTGGGTTCTGGAAGGGCCAGAGTCTTCCTAGGATCCCATGCCAGGGCCACAGAGAACTTGGAGGATTTTCATGAAGTGGTTCCTGGGGTTCCTAGGCTCGACATAAGGAGGAAGAAGTTTGGGGGCCCCTTTTCTGGGGTGGGGAATCTGCTCTAAGGGGCCAAGGGAAAGCTCAGAGGTGGAGATGAGGTCTCACCTGCCTGTGCTCCATCCTGTCCTGGCTGTGGATGAACTGTAAGACACGGGAAGGGGTTGGTGAGGCTTGCCCTGCTCCTCTGCCACCAATCCTCCCTTCAGAAAGGGCTACCTACCTTCATAATGGGCTGCGATAGCTCTTCGAGCTCGTACTTTCCGGCCTTTAGGAGCTAAGAATGAAGCAAAGACAGATTAGCAGAGAGACTGCTCTGGAGACCCAGGACCCAGCCCCCAGCCTCTCTCCCTGCTCAGGACCCTGGCAGCCTCAGTGTTATCCAGACTATCAGCCGTCACACATCCAGCCTAATCTTCCTTCATAAACAGTGACATCATAATTTATCACCAAAACTGGGGTACTTGTGAGAGCAAAAGGTGGCTATTAATTAATAATCACATTGGGGCAGGGGTGCAACTTAGTGGTGGGGTGAGTTCTATCTCCACTACCATACAGACACACAGACATAAAGAGAGACAGAGACACACACACACAGACATACACACACATGTAGACACACAGAGAGACATAGATACATACATAGACACACACACAGAGACACACATAGACACATATGCACAGAGACACACATACATAGATATACACATATGCATACACACAGATACACAAGAACAGACACACAGACACATACATACACCCCACTCATCCATCCAAACTTGGATATATGGTAATGTACCATTGATTTGTAGAAGTCTTTGCTTAGGGGCTTCCAGGCCTCAGACTCCTTTACCTTGCCCTTAGGAGGGCTCCTGGAGTCTTTCAAACTCCTGGCCACTTCATAGGAAGCAGGTGTTTATGGCAAAAGGAGCTTAGGAAGGTAGACTAAAATTCCTAGACCCCATTCTCAACCATTTAGCTGCTGGATTCTGTGTCTCCTTTATGCTCCCTACCTCAGTTTCTCTATGAAAATAAAAGTTTTAGCTGGGCGGTGGTGGCAAACACCTTTAGTTCTAGCACTGGGGAGGCAGAGGCAGGTGGATCTCAGTGAGCTCAAGGCCAGCCTGGTCTGCAAAGCAAGCTCCAGGACAGCCTCCAAAGCCACAGAGAAACCCTGTCTCAAAAAAAAAAAAAAAAAAAAAAAAAAAAAAGAGGAGGAGGAGGAGGAGGAGGAAGGGGAAAAGCCTGTTGGGAAGAACAAAGCAGTAAATCGCCCAGTAACTAGCCAATTTTGTCATCCCTGAGACTGGGACAGAAGGATGGATGCTCACCACTCCTTCGAGGTCGGACGAGTCGTTCCAAGAAAGGCACCACATCATGGCTTCCCTCTGTCTGGGAATTCAGTTCCTAGGAATTAAGGGCAGGGCTCAAACAGGACTCCCAAAGACAAAAGCCTTAGGGCCTCTCAGAAGAAGCGTTAGCCAGTAACAGACACAAATCCTACGGGTTGGCTAAACCTGGGGAGTGAGGCTGGGTTCTCATCATCCCTTTTGAGAGATGATACAGACTTTAATGCCATCAGCCCCAGTCAACAGACAGTCTGCACCACCCTACCACACACGCACGCACACACGCACACGCACACGGGGAGGTGGTGCAGAGACAGACACAGGTGACACATACAGCCTGTCTAGTGTCAGGCTCAGATTTCTCACTCTCACTCACAGCCAATCAGCACTTCCCACTCAGGTGGCACAACTCTTACTTTGTGGTAAGAGTTACCTCCTTACACCCAGATCACCCTCTCACACACAGACATACCCACGTGGGCTGGTTCACTCCCCACACTCGGTTGTAAACTAGTGCACGCGAGAGTCTCCATGCACACACAGCTGAGTGCACACACATCTGTCACAGCCAGCCAAAGCCTCAACTCGGGCACATTCTTCCATGCTGGCGTCCTGCACACAGCATCCACACCTACTCACAGGGGGCTCCTGGTGGTCCTCAGCTGTCAGCTCCTCCTGAGAAGGCCCCTGCTGGGAAGGAGGCAGCGTCACCCTGTTCTCTTGACAACTTGTCCTCCACCCCTTCTCCGATCCCCTGGCCCTCTGCCCTCCCGGCTCCGGTCTGCTACTCTCAACTTTCTGCTCCTAATCTGCCCAGAGAGGGGTATGCTGAGGGCCTCACCTGGGCAGACAGCGTTGCCCAACTCCCCAGGCTGACCACGACCAGCAGGAGGCCAAGGCAGGCCAGCGCCAGGCCCAGGCTCAGCACCAGTGGGGCCAGCAGGGCGGTGCCCGGCTCCCCCCGGCGCCCCCTCCGCCTCTGGCTCCGACGGGCGGCCATGGGGGCGGGGGGCTGTGCCTGCCTCACCGCCCCCCCATCCCGGGACCCAAGGGATGGGGAGGGGGAGCTGGTGGGCGGATCGAGCCAGGGGAGAGGGAGGGGCCTGGGAAGCGGGCGGGAGGGGGGCGGAGGAGGACAGGAAGCCGGACACTGTGTGATTAAACTCCAGCCTCCCCGGAGTGCAGTGCAAGAAGCCAGAGGCGCCCAGCACCCGGGCGTGTGCAGGCAGGCGACCGCAGTGACACCCCAGGCCTAGGCCTCCGAGACGGAGAAAGCAGAAGTGGACGGGCATCCACCCAGGCCTGTGCCAGGGATGGCGACGGGGCTCTGGACCCAGGAACCCGCCCCAGTGTTCTGGGCCCTCCCACAGCAATTGTTAATCAAGAAGATGCCCCCAGTGGGCTTGCCTACAGGCCAATCTGATGGAGGCATTTTCTCGGTTGAAATTTCAGATCATCTTCTCGGGGTCTAACACCTTTTATTTCTTTCTTAGTTTTGTTGATATTTGTGGAACACTTCATCAGTATCTGTGTCGTCGTTTCACAAGGGTCTTGATTCTCTGTGACATCCCAGTTTTCCCATGTGTGCTGGTGCAGTGGGCACTTTTCATAGCAGTGACAGCTTCTGTGATATTTGTGGCCATGTAACCATTGGCTATCTCCCAAAATACTTTACTAAAATATTATATATTTTCTTTAAAAACAGATTTACTTTTATTATTTTTAATTATGTGTGTGTGTGTGCGCGCGCGCGCGCGCGCGCGCGTGTGCAGGTAGCCTCGGAGGCCAGAGGCATCTGACTCCCTGGGACTAGACTTAACAATGATGGAATGACATGTGATATGGATGCTAGGAACCAAACTCTGGTCCTCTGGAAGAGCAACAAGTGCTTATTCATTCATTCATTCATTCATTCATTCATTCATTTGTAAGGCTTGTGTTTTGGGCTGGAGAGATGGGCCCAATCAGAGGTTAAGAACACTAACTGCTCTTCCAGAGGACCCGGGTTCAATTCCCAGCACTCACATGGCAGCTCACAACTATCTGTAACTCCAAAATCTAACACCCTCACACAGACATACATTCAGGAAAAACACCAATGCAAATAAAATAAAAATAAATAAAATACTTATGTTTTATTTTATGTGTATTAATGTTGCCTGTAGGTATATATGTGCCCAGTGTGCATGCCTGGGGCCCACAGAGGTCAGAAGAAGGCATTAGATCCCCTGGAACTGGAGTTACAGGTGCTAGGAGTCAAGCCTGGTTTTTTTTGCAGGCGCAACTAATGCTTTTAACCATGGAGCCATCTCTCCAGACCCAGAAAATGCTCTTAACTGCTGAGCCTCTCTTTAGCCCTGCCCTGCTTTTTTTGTTTGTTCAGATAGCCTCACTGTGTAACCCTGGCTACTCTGGAAGTGGACCAGGCCTCAAACTCACAGAGATCTGCCTGTGTGTGCCTTCCAAGTGCTGGGTTTATAGGTGTGTGACATCAACCCCAGCATTTTTCTTTTTTAAAAATCTCTCCTGGAGCCGGGTGGTGATGGCACACACTTTTAATCCTAGCACTGGGGTGGCAGAGGCAGGTCGGTCTCTGTGAGTTCCAGGACAGCCAGGGCTGTTACACAGAGAAAACCTGTCTCGAAAATAAACAACAACAACAACAAAAATCTCTGTTGGGGTTAAAACTTTGTGCATGCTAGGCAAACCAAAGCTGTACCTTAAAACTGTACTACAGGGCTGGAGAGATGGCTCAGGGGTTAAGAACACTGACTGCTCTTCCAGAGGTCTTGAGTTCAATTCCCAGCAACCACATGGTGGCTCACAACCATCTACAATTCAATCTGATGTATATGTAATAAATAAATAAATCTTTAAAAAAAAACTGTACTACAAATCTCTAAAGGCTTTTAACAAGAGCCATGAACAACCAGCACCCAATAAAATCCCCAAGACTCCATATGGTAGACCAGGAACAGAGTCCTAGGCTCTGAAATCTGTGCAATCAATAGAAGCTGTTTAGGAGTCAGGTAACTGGCTGAGTAAAAGCATTTGCCACATGAGCCTGGTGGCCTGACTTAGGTCCCTAAAAACCCCATAAAAAGCAAAATGTGGGGACTGGAGAGGTGGCTCAGTGGTTAAGAGCACTGGCTGCTCTTTCAGAGGGTCTGGGCTCAATTTCCAGCATCTACATGACAGCTCACAACTGTCTATAGTAACTCTAGTTCCAGGGGATCTGACATCTCACACAGACATACATACAGGCAAAACACCAATGCACATAGAGTAAAATACTTTCATTTTTTTTTCGAGACAGGGTTTCTCTGTATTGTCTTGGAGGCTGTCCTGGAACTCACTCTGTAGACCAGGCTGGCCTTGAACTCACAGAGATCCGCCTGCCTCTGCCTCCCGAGTGCTGGGATTAAAGGCGTGCGCCACCAACGCCCGGCTAATAATTTCATTTTTAAAAAAGCAAAATGTTATCAGTGAAATAATCAGAATGTTTATACAGAAAACTATGAGACAGAGAGGAAAAGAAATAGCTGGAAGACACAAACTTGTAAAAGTTGTCCTCTGATCCTCACAGTGGCATGCCACAGTCTCATGCATGAGCAAGTGTCTGCACACACAACAAACAAATAAGTAAATAAACAACTTTAAGGCAGGGTGTCTCTTTCTTTCTTGCAAAGAGATGGGATCCAAGGCCTGTACATGTGAAGCAAGGGCTCTACCATCAAACTATGCATCAGCCCTTAAAAGAGGTTTTCTAGCCGGGCAGTGGCCTTGCACACCTCTATTCCCAGCACTCAGGAGGCAGAGGCAGGCGGATCCTTGTGAGTTTGAGGCCAGCCTGGTCTACAGAGTGAGTTTCAGGACAGTCAAAGGATTTTTTTCCAAGTTAGCAGAAGCGCTGAAGGAAATCTGAGACCAGTTTCAAAATGTATGATTACATTTCATCAGACCTGGGCCTGAGGCAGGTTTTGACTTTTTTTCAGCCATGAGAAACTAAGCAGCCATAAACCCTATTCCTTTAGGTTGCTAGACAGTCCCCCGGGAATGTCTGTCCCCAGGCAATGCTTATGCTTTCTCAAAGTGGTTTGTTCTCCTTCCTCAGTTTACCTCCCCCTCTCAGCTCTCAAGTCAGGCCTTGAAGTAAATGTGAAAGCCTGTGTTTGAGACATTATGACAATGCAGTCAGTAAATAGTTCTTAGATTTCCATTGACTTTGATGAATGAGCCATTACCACAAGCCTCTGCCAGACTGGACAGTGGCTGAGTATGATGGCATACCTCTTTAATCCCAGTGTTCTAGAGGCTGACAAGATCTCTGTAAATTTGAGGCCAGCCTGGTCTACATAGAAAGTTCCAGGCTAGCAAGGGCCAAGAGTGAGACCCTGTTTAAATAAGGAAAAGAAGACAGGGTTTCTGATTCAAAGTCAGACACATAGCTGGGCATTGGTGGCGCACGCCTTTAATCCCAGCACTTGGGAGGCAGAGGCAGGTGGATCTCTGTGAGTTTGAGGCCAGCCTGGTCTACAGAGCGAGTTCCAGGACAGCCTCCAAAACAGTACAGAGAAGCCCTGTCTCGAGAAACCAAATAATAAATAAATAAAGTCAGACACATTTCTTAGCCTCCAATATTTCCTCAGATCCCAGTGAAATAAAAGTAGAGAACACGGGCTGGAGAGATATCCATGTGGCTAAGAGCACTTGTTTCCAGAGGACCTGAGATTGATGGCTGCTCACAACCATCTGTAACTTTGGTTCCAGGGGGTCTGATGCCCTCTTCCAGCCTCTGTAGGCCCCTGGCACACATATGGTGCATAGGAAAAACTCCCACAGACACAAAATAAAATTAAAAGTTTCTTTTAAAAAGACAGTTGAGGCTGGGCGGTGGTGGCACACGCCATTAATCCCAGAACCAGGTCAGCCTGGTCTACAGAGTGAGTCCAAGGACAGCCATGGTTACACAGAGAAACCCTGTCGTGAAAAAACAAACATACAAAAGGATAGTTGCAAAGCTGTGTACATGTGTTGTGTGCTTATGTTTGTGCAAACATATCACATGTGTAGGTGGGAGCATGAATACGTGTGTACCTGGAAGCCAGAGGTGTCTTCCTCATTAGCCCTCCAGATCAGCTTTTGAGACACAGCCTCTCACTGAAGTTGAATGAAGGTCATCTGTTTGGCTGGATTAGCTGATGATGAGCTTCCGGGATCTGTCTCTCCTCACGCCCCTCTACCCAGAGCTGGGCGTGTGGGTATGCACTGCCCCCCTGGCTTTACTGTGGCTGCTGATTTGACTCAGGTCCTTCATGCTTGTGTGACTGGCTTTACTGGCTGACCGGTCTCCTCAGCCCCGGTTTGAGGAACACTTAAAGTATGATGTTTTAGTCTGTTTTCTGTTGCTACTTGCACACTGTTGTGGACTTCATAACTTAAAAGGAGTTTACGTTGACTCATAGTTCTGGTCCAAGGTCAGGGCCACACTCAGTGATGGCCTTCCTGTTGCCAAAGTCCCAAGCAGCACAGGACATCACATGGTGAGAGATAGGGATCAGGAGAGCGGCCAAACCAGCTTGATAGCCAGCCATTTCTGAAGATAACCCCGCACTCATTCATTGCATGGGTGGACTGCTTAATCTGCGAGTGAGGGCAGAGCCCTGGTCACCTCTTATTATCTCCTAATGGGGATTAAATTCCAACATGAGTTTCAGAGGGACAAACCATAGAAGGCCACAGAAGACTGATATAATCAAAGAGTGTAAAGAAAGAAGGCAAAACACCTGGAGAGAGATGGCTCAGCAGTCAGGAGCACTCATGGGGGACATCCTTCTGTATATATGTTTCTTTTATTGGTTGACCAGTAAAACACTCTTGGGCCAATGAGGCAGGAAGATAGGCGGGACTAGGAGACAAGGAGAATTCTGGGAAAGGCAGGTGGAGACAGCCCACCAGAGACAGATGACATGTAGCCACCATAGGGGAGATACAGGTCCGGGCATTCTCTGGTAAGCCAAGACCACTTGGAAATATATAGTTTCATAGAAATGGGTTAATAATTAAGAGGAAGCTGGTCAATAAGAAGGCCTAGTCACCCATCAACGCTTTAATAATTAATAAAGTCTTCGCGGGCTTATTTGGGGCTGAGAAGGGCGGCGGGACCTGGTGGGGCAAGAAAACTCTGCAACAGAGCACTGGCTGCTCTTCCAGAAGACCTGGGTTCAATTCCTAGAACCCACACAGCAGCTTACAACCATCTGTAACTCCTGTTCCAGGGGATCTGATGCCCTCATGTGGACATACATGCAGGCAAAACACCAACGCACATAAAATACAAATAAACTTTTAAAAAAGAAACAAAACACGTAGAATTCAAGAATAAATTATAATATGACAATAACATTTCATTGACAAAATACCAGTTTTAAAAACTCCTTAGAAGCCGGGCGTTGGTGGTGCACACCTTTAATCCCAGTACTCGGGAGGCAGAGGCAGGCGGATCACTGTGAGTTCGAGACCAGCCTGGTCTACCGAGCGAGTTCCAGGACAGCCTCCAAAGCCACAGAGAAACCCTGTCTCAAAAAAAAAAAAAAACTCCTTAGAATGGCATGTGGGGTTGAATGCATGGAGAGCAATGGTTTGGATATAAAGTATCTACCCAATGAGGTAGGCTTCAGAGAACTGGTTGGATCTTGATGGCTATTATTTCATCAGTGTATGGATTCAAACTTTGGTGGGGCTTTCTTTCCCTTTTTTTAGCCTTTATTATTATTACTATTTTAAATTTTATGTGTATGGGTGTCTTAATGCATTTATGTCTCTGCACCACAAACATGCAGTGCCTGTGGAGGCCAGAAGGGGGCGCTAGACCTCTTGGGACTGGAGTTACGGATGTCTGTGAGCTGCCATGGGTGCTGGGAACAGACACCAGGTCCTCTGAAGAGCAGCTGGAGCTCCACTGCTGAGTCACCTCTCCAGCCTGGAATTCAAGCTTGCACCAGACTTGGAAAGTGGTAGAACTATGGAAGGAGGGTCCTGCTGGAGCAAGCAGACACTGGCCTTGCCTTCTGTTTATCCTTCCCGCTTCCTGTCCTCTTTGGGGGAAGGAGCTCCGCCATAAGTTCCCCAGCATGATGTACTCCTCATCGTGGGCAACGGAACAGCAGCATCAAGTGAGCATGGACTGAGACTTTGGAAACAGGAGTTGAAATTCGTCTCCCCTCCTTTGGTTTTCTAGGCCTCTGTAGCAGCAAAGAAGAAAGTCTAGAGTTAGCCCATTGTTCGCCAGAGCTAAGCTCTTACTAACATGGTCATGACAATGGAAGCCTGCTTGTTGGTTTTTATCTTTCATACCATCTGATCCAAAGTTAACTCTAATTCACCAAACCCCAAAAAGGCAATCTGAATATTCAGAAATGAGCTCAGTACTATAGGAGGATTCGTGGTGGTAGGTAAAAGCCAGCATTCCTCAGGAACTTGTGAAGCTAGTTCTGCTCTACCAAAAAGTCATTTCCTTCCATCTGGCGGAAGGGACATATGGCTACCTGTGGTGCCCGTCAGCATACTAAAGTGCATGCCAGGCTGGTGTGGCAAGTCCATGCTGGCAACCTAACCCTTCTGCCTCCCCCCACCCTCGACTCCCTCCAGCTCACGGGCTTCCCTCCTCAGCTGCTCACTCTCCTTATAGCCCTGCTATCACAGCTCCTCCATCTCCCTCCCTCTCCCTCTCCCTCTCCCTCTCCCTCTCCCTCTCCCTCCCTCCCTCTCTCCCTTCCTTTTCTTTAAGCTCACTCTTTGTTCTCTGTCTCCTGCTATTCTCTGCTCTCCACAGATAGCACTGGCCATGTCCAGTCTGCCAGACATGTTCAGTCTCCCTAATCTCTCCCTTTCCTCCGAACTCTCCCAGGTGCCTCTGGCTGCTCTCTCCCTCATATCTACAATAAAACCGTCCCCTTGGCCCTGCCATGGAGGAATGGTCATCAGTTTATACACAGACTCATCCCTAGAAAGACCCAGAGGTTTGGTTGTCAGTAGCAAACCGAACCAATGCTTACAGTCTTGAGTACTGTAAATGAGAGGGGCACATATGGGAGGGGGGGAAGCAGACATAAACCAGGCACCCCTACCAGGTCACTCTGGCAAGGAGACAAAACAATAGATGTTTACTTCCAATGACCAAACAATAGTCTAAGATGAGCATGATGATACACCCACGATCCCAACTGGGCATGATGGTACATACTCGTGATCCCGACATCAAATGGGTATTGTGAGGCCAGCTGGGCTGCATGGTGAGATCCTGTCCCAAATAAACAGCCCAAAAAACAAACACCACTGTTCCACATTCTTGGATATAGCTAAGTGGTAGAGAACTTGCCTGATACATGATAAGGCCCCAGGTTCAGTGTCTGGCCTGGACCTGTTGGGGGAGGACAAATATCATCTTCATTGGGAAAGGAGAGGAAGAGAGTGTAGGACACACACCTGACATTATATACTTAGTCACACCAACAGCGCCAACATTAATTTTTTAAAAACTCAGAAGTGTGAACATTATTAGGGTCTCTGGAATAATGCTGTCCCAGGGGTCACCTGGAGGTGGTGGGATGGTGTGCCTGGGAGGGTGAGACACATCCTCCCCATTGTAACTCCCACTGTTGTGCTTTGCGAGGTGAACCCTGCACTTTCATTTGGGAAAAGGAAACCCTGCCAATTGCAGAAAGCCCTGTCTGGGAGGGGAGTCATCACCATGGCCTCCAGCAGGCCTCCACTCACTCCTGCTAATGGAAAAACACAAGGTTTGAGCCCCTGGAGACAGTGGATCATCTGTGGCTCCCATAACTTTGCCTTGAAAAATTAATTTAATACACTTAACCTTTTTGTTCTTGGTTTGCCGCCAGAGCTAAAATTGTCTTGCATTCCTCTAGAACACTGATGGGAAATGACTTGGGAAAGCGTAGGAAAATACTGGGGGGTGATCTGCCAGTCTGATCCCCTTCATTTTCCTCATTTTCTAAATTTGCTACCCCAACACGGAAAAAAGAGGCCTTTCTGGTTTCATTTTCTCTAGGCCTTTTCTAGGGAATTTCTTGGAGCCTTCATGCATCTTACATATGGTTTGGTGCATCACTATGTCATCTCGATGGCTATTGTGTTCCCAGAAGCAGCTAGAGTTTGTGAAATGAATGCGAGCAATCTAGCCTCCCTAGAGTGGGACTAAAGTGAGTAATGACTATTAAATCCTGGCCACAACCTGTGTTGGACAGTAACCATCCTAGCTAGAAGGTTGAGGGACTATCAGTGCTAAAGCCAGGACAGTTTGGAATGAGTTGCTAGACTGGAGGAAGGCCTACACCACCTTTTCCTTTTGGCCCAAATGTGTAAGCTGCACTCATTCAGTCAATCAGACAATTCAAGGCCCCATCCCGGGTACCTTCCTCTCCTCATCAATTTGCCTAGCCATGCCCAAACATTACCACCATCTAAACCCTCTAAACCCTCTGCTGCCCGAGCATGGGGTCCTCCAGAAGCCTCCCTCCTCCTGGATTCCTCCCATACCTTGGGCTTACCATCATTCTTCTTTGTGTCCCCCATACTTGTATTCTCCTCTTTGAAGCCTCTTTCTCTGGCTTCTGTGTCAATAGCAGTGTTACAGAAGGAGGTTTAGTCTACCTCATGCTTACGGAGATGCAAGACTGAAGGGTTACATCTAGTGAGAGCCTTCTTACTGGCCATCCTACTCCTCACGGTGTAACCCTGCAAGAGTCAGGGAGTGGCAATGCATGTACATGCTGTGGGGGGCGTGATAGCCAGCCCTAACCTGACGGCACTGGGTTATTGCCTGCTCTATCCCCAGAGAGCTCAGACCTGTGTAATAATTTACAGTTAACTCCTCTGTGATGGCTAAAGAAACTTAATATGGTACCAAACATTCCTTAAGGGCCATTGACCTTTGCCCTGGAATGCCTGTGCGATTCTAGAGGCCTTCAGGTGAGACAAGGTTAAGATAATGGCGTTTCTGCTGTGAGGGATTCAACCACTTGCTTTTGACTTTTGTAAACTTGCTTATTGATGTGGGACTGGAATGAAGTGGTCTTTTTATTCCTCTATAATGGCAAAGAGAAACAACTGAGGGGGAGTAAAACACTTTCTTGCCCAGCAGTGGATTCCACAGATAACTGTTTTTCGAGACAGGGTTTCTCTGTATTGTTTTTTTGGAGCCTGTCCTGGAACTCACTCGGTAGACCAGGCTGGTCTCGAACTCACAGTGATCCGCCTGTCTCTGCCTCCCGAGTGCTGGGATTAAAGGCGTGCGCCACCAGCGCCCGGCAATGCACACCTTTGATATCCACCTTATAAACCTTTCCTTTAGCCCCCTTTAGCACAGAATGCTGTTTGGCTCTAAGGCTGCTATCCCACTAGCAGTAAGAATAAATTCATTTAATTTAAATTTGAACTGAGTGTGTCTTTGGTTTTTCCCAGTGGATTCCCAAACACCATAATGACACATGTGTACATTTTGTGTGTGTGTACATGTGTATGACTGTCTTCTAGTTTTTCCTCCCTTTTGTTTTTTTAAAAACCAAATAAATTTATTGCTATTTTTTATTTATGTGTGTCTGTGTGTGTATATGCCAAGAATGTGTGTAGCGCCCAATAAAGCCAAAAGAGGGCGTTGGATCTTCTAGAGCAGTGATTTTCAATCTGTGGGTCACTCAACATTTTCATAATGGTCACTTAAAATCGTCTGCATATCAGATATTTATGTTAAGACATAACAGCAAAGCAAGCAGATCTCTGTGAGTTCAAGGCCAGCCTGGTCTACAAAGCTACATGGAGAAACTCTGTCTTAAAAAACAAAACAAAACAAAAAGACATAACAGCGGCAAAATTTCACTTATAAAGCAACAATGAAAATAATTCCATGGTTGTCGGTCACCACATGTGGGTTACAGCATTAGGAAGGTTGAGAACCACTGGTCTAGAGCTAGAATTAAGGCAGCTGTGAGCTGCCTAGCATGGGTGCTAGGAACTGAACTTGGGCCCTCTGAAGGGAAAGCAAGATGATGTAACTGCTGGTCCTTCTGTCCACACACCTTCCTTTTGTTTTATTACTTATGTGTGTATAGGTCTGTATGCAATATGTGCACATGTGTATCATGCAATATGTGCACATGTGTGTCATGTGTTGGGGTGCCCTCAGAAGTTAAGGAGGGTTTCAGATCCCTGGAGCTGGAATTCCAGGCAGTGTGAACTTCTGATGTCAGTGCTGGGAACTGAACTCTGATCCCCTGTTGCTTTTGGCTTTTGAGACAGGGTTTCTTTATGCAAGCTATGCACTAGGCTGGCCTGGAACTCACAGAGCTCAGCCTGCCTTTGCCTCCTGAGTTCTGCATGTAATGTATGCACCACCACTGCCTGGCTGCAGCAAAACGTCCTCACCACTGAGCCATCTCAAGGACACTCCCTTTTCTTATAATGGCTCTAGATTTCGGTCACAGAGCTGAACTCTGTCAAACTTATTTCACTCTAATTCAATAACTTCCCCAAAGCCCCATTGCTAAATGCCACAGATGGATTAATCTTGATAGTAGGAATTCAGTTTTAATTCATAAAACTTCAGGAGAGACACTGGAGAGATGGCTTGTATTGCCTGCTGTACAAGCTTAAGGACCTAAATTTAGGTTCCCTAGCACCCATATGGCTTCTGTAACTTCAGCCCTGTAGAGGGCTGACAGTGTAACTCTTTACCGGACCTGCTCCAGCACGGAACAAAGGCTGCCCACCCACAAACAGGGTCTCATGTGGCCCAGAATAGCACCGAGCTCACCACAGTCAAGGCTTGAACTCCTGATTCTTAGAGGGGAGGGGTTTTACAGGTGTGCGCCACTGCTCTGAACTGCTTTTCTTTATCTACTGTGGAATGGTCAAACCTGGGTAGTTAATCCAAACAGCTCCATTAGTTACATACAGATGCCCCTGGTTGACCTAACACTGTCCTTTGCAGCAACGCTGTTCTTTCCGGATCATATGTTTCATCGTCATGGTCTTTAAGCTGCTTTTTCATTTATTTGCTTCCTCCATTTATTTTTAGCATGCAGTAGAGAGAACACACAGTCTGCTAGCAGCTTTAATGGAAAACAGTTTCTTGTCCTTTCTCTGTCTTCCACAACACGGATAATTTTGAGTATGAGCCTGATGTCCTACAGAACCCTCTCAGTCGGTTTCTTTGTGGTCAGCTCAGGTGATGCTGTTCGAGGAGGGCCACTGTGGACACTGCTGCCTCTGTGTCTGTCGGGAGGCTCAGGGCTCAGCTCAGTCCATAAGCTAACTGGCTTCTCTTGCTAAGGTGGTGTCTGCTGGGCTTCTCCACCCAAAGTCACCTGTTCACCTGTGTAACTAATCAGTATTTTGTGGAAGAACACTCAGAGGCTCTGTAACCGCTGGCTCCATTACTTTTCACCCAAAGGCCTTAGGGTCTGGTTCTCACCTGAGTAGTTGTTGGTTTCATGACTAGCCTCTGCTGTAAGCTGCAAGCTCCTGTTGTTTCCATGGATTCGTTTTGAGTGTAGTCATAGACTCATTACTCATATGTTGTTTGGTTGGTTGGTTGGTTTTTGTTTTGTTTTTTTCTTTATTTGTTTGGTCTTTTTTGTTGTTGTTTTTTTCTTTTTTCTTTTTTTTTCTTTTTTTTTTTTTTTTTGTTTTGGTTTTTCGAGACAGGGTTTCTCTGTGACTTTGGAGACTGTCCTGGAATTAGCTCTTGTAGACCAGGCTGGTCTTGAACTCACAGAGATTTGTCTGCCTCTGCCTTGGAAGTGCTGGGATTAAAGGCATGCACCACCACCGCTCAGCGGTTGGTTGGTTTTTCGAGACAGGGATTCTCTGTATAGCCCTAGCTGTCCTGGAACTCGCTTTGTAGACCAGGCTGGCTTCAAACTCACAGACCCCTGCCTATGCCTCCCCAGTGCTGGGATTAAAGGCATCACTCATATGTATTTTAAAATGTATTATGGTCTATTAAGTCATTATCCATTTTAATACTTAAATTGTTCAGTTTGTTCTCTGGGAAACTTTTCTGTCTGGTTCCTGTTTTCCCTTCAGCTTGTTGGTTAATCAGGGTTCTATTCAGCCTCCTGAAAGCTGGAATTACAGGCGTTGGCCACAAGGCCTGGCTTCATCTCAGTCTTCCCTCTTTTTCCCCTTCCCTCCCCCATGCAGAACCCGTTTTTCTGAGGAGCTCTGCTTCCTTTTGTGGAGAAGGCCTCATAGACACAACGATCTAATCACTAGCCTGGGTGTGAGCCTGTTTCTAGGCTCTGTGCGGGCACTGATGGTATGTACATACAGTAAACAGGCAATTTACAGTGCTCTCGTAAAATGGAGTAAAAGCTTATGCATTCGGTACAACCGCACCACACATTCCAGCAGTCTGTCACGACTGCAGTGGCAGCCAGCAAGGGCCCCATCCAGTCCTCTGCTCTCCAAAGAAGCCACCACACTGCCCAGTGCTGTCGTCAAGTGAGGGGGGACTCACCTTCTCGCTTGGCTGCTGTGACTTGTTGTGATCTAAGCAGTCACCACAATAAATTCTCGTCACCTCTGATCTGGTCCAATCTACCAAGCTCTGCCTCATGTCGCTTTCCCAGGGGCTTATCACCAGAGCACCTGTGTTTCTATCCCTGCCCTGGCCATGCTTGCTGCCTGGGGTCTGTCTCACACACCTCCCACAGCCCCACATCTGGTAAGATTGTTTATCCTGAGACCCTTGGCTCTCCTGGCCCAGCTTAGTAACTGGCACACAGTAGGAGCTTTGTGGAGATGGAAACCAGAACCAGGTTCACACTAAGCAAATGCACAGCTGCTGACTCAATCCTTCTCCCCGCCCCCAGTTCTTTTCTTGAGTTGTTTTGTTTTTGACAGAGTCTCTCTGTGTTCCCGTCTGTCCTGGAACTCACTATGTAGACCAGTCTTACCTTGAACTGACAGAGATCCGTCTGCCTATCTCCCAGGTGCTAGGATTAAAGGTGTGCACCACCACCTCCTATTATATATTTGTTTGTTCTCAAGACAGGGTTTCTCTGTGCAGCTTTGGAGGCTGTCCTGGCACTCGCTCTGTAGATCATGCTGTCCTGGAACTCACAGAGATCCTCCTGCCTCTGCCTCCTAAGTACTGGGATTAAAGGCATGCATCACCACTGCCGTACATTATATACATTTCTTGAATGAAGGGGATTCTCACTGGGCCTTCCAGGTTCTCTCCCAGATTAGGACTTTCCGTGCCCCACAGCAGCCTGACTCCCCCTAACCACAGCACTGTCTATAAAGTTATCATCTATAAACCAGACTCTCCTCTCGGCTCCACGAGTGCGGAACTAGACTCACTCACCTGTATTCCCAGGACCTAGTTGATGCCTCACCCATTGCTCCATGGTCTGCTGCATAGAAAAGCTATTGACCCTGCTCCAATGCCACACCACAGCCAGGAAGCAGAGATTCCAGAATTCAAACCTGGGTCTGCAAAGTGACCTCCTCACTCCCAGTCCTGAAGCAGAGAGGTTAGGGATGCCTGGGCTCTATCTGTCATCTGCTGTTTTGCATATCAACCTTCACGTTTCAAAGTTTCTCAGGTCATCAGTTGACCCCAGCCCTGCAGGAACAGTGGTCCTGAGTGCTGAGTGCTGAGTAAGAGGACCAGGGATGAGAAATAAAGACAAAAGCGTCAGCTGGGACCAGTAGGTCTTGCATAAGTTGATGACTGTGCCAAGCAAGTTTATTACAAAGTACAACATCATACATGCTATTTTCAGGGTGGGAAACAGCCAAGGTCAGCAGAGAGCTAAGTCTGATACTGTTGGCAAAGAGAACACAGGACACATCTGTCTCAGGACTGATAACCACAGCCCAGGGGAAAGAACCGGGTCCCCAGAAACTGAAACCTCAACCCACCGGAGGCACCTGCTCCGGCCTCAGATGACACTCCTGGTCAAGGACCCAGAACTAACGTTCCGTCTGTCCTTTCTTCGGGGCCTCTGAGAAAGTCTTGGGTTGGCCTGGCTCCCCACAAGCAGTCCTCTGCCATTCCCCCTACTCTGCATTCAGTCTGCAGCTGCCTCCAGGTTAGGACTGAGCCAACACTCAGGAGGCAGAAGGAGGCAGATCTATGTGAGTTCGAAACCAGCCTGGTCTACAAGGACAGGCTTTAAAGGTACACAGAGAAACCCTGACTCTGAAAAACCAAAATAAATAAGTAAATACACACATAAATGATAAATACTGAGCCAGACTTCCTAGCCAGGCTTTCGGCTTTCAGCTTACACCTGGCTATGCTGGCAATGTGCTGCTTGGCCTGGTGTCTAATGAGATTGGTCTGGTTTGGCTCCTGGCCCTTGGCACTGAGCTGCAGCTTGACTCACTTCTGCCTTAGCTCCGAGGCATCACGCCATGCATCCTCCCTCCCAGCAGGAGGGGAGGTTGTAAAAAGCAAACTGTACTGCGAACTCAAGAATAGCTTCCTTGAATGGTGGCATGCACCTTTAATCCCAGCCCTCAGGTGGCAGAGGCAGGCAGATCTCTGTGAATTCAAGACCAGCTTGGTCTATAGAGCCAATGTTACATGGTAAGAACTTCTCAAAGCAAAAACAAACTTCTCAAAGCAAAAACAAACAACTCAGATGCTTCAAGACCTTTTCAGGAAGTCAAATGTAAATTGCAAGTCGATGGTAAAGCCTGGGTGAGCCCGACAGCTGGTAACCCTGTATGTTGTGATGGACTAGAAAATGGTTTTGTTTTTGTTTTGTTTTGTTTTGTTTTGTTTTTTTGGTTTTTTGAGACAGGGTTTCTCTGTGTCTTTTGGAGGCTGTCCTGGAACTAGCTCTTGTAGACCAGGCTGGTCTCGAACTCACAGAGATCTGCTTGCCTCTGCCTCCCAAGAGCTGGGATTAAAGGTGTGCGCCACCAATGCCCAGCTAAAATAAATCAGTCTTAAGGAATTAAAGTTAGTTTTTGCTCTGTTGTTCAGAGGTCTTAATCACGGGTTTCTGGGTTCCATTGCCTTCAGGCCAGTAGGAGGCAGGGCATCATGGAGGGAGGTAACTGCTTGCTTACTGGGAAGCTGAGAGAAAAAGAGAAGAGACCAGGAGCCTCACAATCCCTTCAGAGATTTTTCCCCCCATTAGACCGCGGGTGAAGTTTCTCTGTGTCCCAGCAGCCGCTCCCAAATCAACAACATGGAGACTTCTTAGTAATTATGAAAGCTCGGCTGATAGCTTATGCTTGTTACTAGCTAACGCTTACATTTTAGATTAATCCATATTTCTATCTACCCTCTGCCATGTGGGGTACTTCTTTCAACACTGCACATTCATATGTTCAAATTGCTTCTCTCCCAAACTCTGCCCTTCTTCCCATCATTCTCTCTGCCTGGAAAAGCCAGCCATCAGCCAATCAGCTTTCTATTCACAATGAGGGCAACACATATTAACAACAGTGTACATAGGTTGTTCCCCAGCTCTAGACCTTATTGTCTAAAGGTCTCGCCACCTCCCAGCATGCTGGGACAAATATTTGGAAGACATTTAAGACGCAAACTATAGCAACTGGATTCAGCCCTCTGGTGGCTTAAGGCTCTGGGAAGACTTCATATGGGTTGTTGTGGGATAGATAGTCCCCAGAGAAGAAAGACTACGCGGGTTTAAGCCAGTAGGAAGTCTTCATTAGCTGGCTGTGCCTACGCTGGTGTTCGGGACCCTGGTGTAGCCCCTTGTCTTTCTCAGATTGATCTTTTAAACTCGATGTCACACCCCGGCCTGACACACCTCAGTAAGCAAGAACAGTTAGCCAGAAGCAGAACCACAGAAGCCAAAAAGCAAGGCTAGTTCCCGGAACTGCGGACTCTGATGGATTAGGTCTTTGTTTTCGTTTTGGCAGGCAGTGCTGTGTGCATGCTGGGTTTTATGGCCTCAACAGTCAGTTATGCTAAGCTCGGGAGCCTGTTACATGGGTAACCAGGTAACAAATAGGAAAAGAGGCTGAGAAGAAATCAGGCTGAGGTCAGGGGACCCTGCTGGAGTGGAAAGTGAAGAACCAAGGACTTGTTAAAGCTGTGTATTTTTTCTTAACTGTAGTATTATTTGTGGTACAAAAATACCAAACAAAACTTAGTGGATCATTAGTTTTGGAGACAAGATCTCATGTGTCCTAGGCAGACCTCAAACTGGTTAAGTAGTTGAAGATGACTTGAACTCCTCCCAAATTGGACTCCACCTCCCAAATTCTGGGAACGAAGGCAAAAGCCACTAGACCTGGCTTTTTATGTGTATTTGTTTATTTATTTTGGACAGTGTCTCACTATGTAACCCAGGCTGATCTCACAGACAGCCTTGCCTGTGCCCGGAACCCCAATTTCTGGTGCGACAGATCTGGTGTCTTTTTATTTTCTTTCTTAAGTTGTTCTGTTTGTTAGTTTGTTTGGTTGCATGCAGCCATTGAAAGGATATTAATTCCACTGACTGAAAATAAGACCACTACCACAGTTAAGCCAAATTAAGCTTTAATTAAATACAGGTCAGGTGAATAGGTCTTAGCCAGGTCCTTATCCAGGTTCCTGGGAAATGAGCCAGAATCAGTTTGCAGCAACTTAGGAAGGAAAACCCATAATTCATTGCATTTCCCATCAGGTCCAATCAGGGGCAAGCATACATCGTGATGTACATCCAATCAGAGGCAAGTGACTTTTTCCTGCCTGTGAACCTCCCACTCACATGTGACCAAACACATCTGGTGCAGATGGGTCAAACACTTGTTTAGGGGAGTGAAAGCATGTGGGTTGTTCTCCCATAAACAACAGCCTCTGGCATTTCAGGAACTATCTGTCCTTGGGCAAGGGACTTACAGATAAGAGGCATTTTGTTTCATGGATTTCTAAGGCATAGTAATTAAAACTTAAAATGTAACTTTGGCTTTCACAAAAGTTCACTCTGAGATACATTAAGTGAAAGAAGAAAAACACAGCTCATAGATCTGTCTCCCGTGTGTATGAACAGTCCAGTATCAGGAGGTTAAGAGCCTGGAAACCTCCATGGAAGGAAAATTTCATCATACACTCTCACATCTGCAGGGCTATTGTAAATCTGTAAAACAGCTCTTGCAGTTTGCAATAGAGGGAATTAGCAAAGTCTGTCTTTTTTTTCTTGAAATGTTGGAAACTGAACAGTTTTATGCATGCTGGTCCAGGTCTCCCCTGCTGAGCTACACTCAGACCTCATACTCTAAACGTGCATCTCCAGCCCCTGCCTGAAGGAACCCCACAGTGCCCAGGGTGCCTTTCGGCTCCTGGCCCAGCTCTCTGTGAGTCTGAGGCCATCTGTTTCTTGCCTTGGAAGCTCTCTCATCCATGTGGATTCTGCTTTTTTCTCTGTCCCAGGAGGCGTGAGATAAGACCTCTGACTTATTGCACTGATGAGCTCTCTGCCTTCTTGCCAGGAGTGTCTGGGGAGAGTTTGTGCGGAGCATTATTTAAAGGAGGGAGTACAAAGAGGAACGCCCTCCTGCTGATTTCACACCTGCACATGTTTTGTTTTGTTTGTTCAGGACAACATGTATTTATTTATTTATTTTTTATTTTTTGGTTTTTCGAGACAGGGTTTCTCTGTGGCTTTGGAGGCTGTCCTGGAACTCCCTCTGTAGACCAGGCTGGCCTCGAACTTACAGAGATCCGCCTGCCTCTGCCTCCCGAGTGCTGGGATTAAAGGCGTGTGCCACCAACGCCCGGCTCAGGACAACATGTATTTATGTTTTGAGGTTTTTTTTTTTTTTGAGACAGGGTTTCTCTGTGGCTTTGGAGGCTGTCCTGGAGTTCCAGCTCTGTAGACCAGGCTGGTCTCGAACTCACAGAGATCCGCCTGCCTCTGCCTCCCGAGTGCTGGGATTAAAGGCGTGCGCCACCAACGCCCGGCTTGAGTTGTTTTTGAAACAGATCCAGGCTGTAGCCCAGAATGTCCCAGGACTCACCACTGTAGCCTAAGTGGCCTTGAACATTTTGGTGACCCTCATTCTTCAACTTCCTAAACACTGGGGTTATAGGCTGAGCCACCGCACCTACCCTCAAGGTAACATTCTTTTTGGATTTTCAGCACTTCCTTCTGGGTTTGGATTTTCCTGAGGAATTTTTCCCACAGGGAAATAGCATTTGCTATTAAGATGGAAGTGAGGGCAGGGTCTGTAGCTCCCTGGAAGAGTATTTGCCCTAGAATGCCTACCCCTGTGTTTAGCCCTCAGGCCCGAATTAAATAAATAGATAATAGACATGTGTCAATGAATGACACCAGTTTTCTAAGTATGCTGACGAATGCTGTAACCCTGGCATTTGGGAAACTGGGTGACATAATAAGTTTGGGGCTAGCCTGAGCTACATAACAAGAACCTCCCCCCCAAACAACAACAAAAAGAAAGAGAAGGAAATAGATGGAAGTGATATTTTTCATAACTTCTAAAGGGGAAAACTTAGCTTTTTTTAATTTTCAAAACTAATTGCAATCCAAGTCTAATTCAAATCATGCAATTCTGCCTCCAAATAGGTGGTTTATAGTTATGCTATATGGTTTACAGTTTTGTAGAGTTTTACATAGGTATGCATAAAATGTAAATGCTCTACTGGAGAGATGGGCATGTTACTCTGGTCTGA